ACAGGGGGAGATTTTTTTCTTATAATATTTTTTTAATTATCAATGAAACAGGGAGATATTTTGATGATATTAATCTGTGTGAAACAGGAGAAAATTTTTTCTTATAATATTTTTTATGATTATCAATGAAACAGGGGGAGATTTTTTGATGAATTAAAATCTGTGTGAAATTCTTTCCTATCTAAATTAAACAAGGGGAGTTAAGAGAAGTATTTGCTCATATGAGTTAGGGGGAGTCTTGTTAATAATATATCCAGGTGGAGATTAAGAGACTTTGACACTTGATACAAATCTGTGTTAATCTTGAGCTGACTATATAGAGTCAAGCATTTTAATTCATTTCAGGTGTTTCCTTGATCATCATCAAAAAGGGAGAGATTGAAAGCAATGAGGGGGAGATTGATGGAAATGTTCATGCATTCTCAAGAGATGATTTTGATGATGATTCAAGTCAACTACATTCAAGTCAACACCATTCAAGATGAATTTAAGGACAAACTGAATTTATGACGTAGGTGACAATGTGAAACATTTCCCTACATGCCCAATATATGTTTTTGATAAAGATGATGATTCAAGCAAGCCCAAGATGATTCCTGAAGACTAGATAGAGTCTTATAATACTGGATATGGAGGTACAAGTTGATGAAGTAATATTATGCATAAGCCTCCAAAGCACAAGTGTGATAAAATTCATAACATGATATTTTTCACTGTCATAATTAATTATGATGCACCAGAAATGGAAAAATGATTTTCTCTATCATAATTAATTATACTGGTAATATAATCAATTATGGCAATTCAAATTTGAAAAATATATCCGTTTTAAAGAATAAATGTTTTTGAATACATCCTGATTTTCTCTATAATATTATTAATGTCCAACGACCATTTTCTGATGCTATTTTTCAATTTAATTAAGTTTTGATGAAAAAGAAAAAAATACACAATTACAGAATTCGAAAATACAATTTACATTCAATCAGTTTTGAGAAAAGAATTCTGAACAAGACAACAGAGATATTTTACACATTTTGAGAAAACCCTCTTCTCTACTGCCTTCTGTGCTTTCGTTGTTAATCACACTTGTTCTTGAAGATTGACATTCTACAGGCTTCTACAATTTGTTGTCTCCATTACCCAGGTGTGTTTGTTCTTATTTTTATTACCTTCATCCTTTTTGCATTGGCGAAAAAGGAGGTTCTTTTCATTCCTAGTGTGATTCTAGGGAGGTGCTCATCCTTAGTGAGATTCTAAGGAGGTGTTTTCATCCTTTGATTTGTTCAAAGGAGGTTTTCATCCCTAGTGTGATTCTAGGGAGGGGTTCATCCTTAGTGGGATTCTAAGGAGATGTTTTTCATCCTTTGATTTGTTCAGAGGAGGTGTTCATCCCTAGTGGGATCCTAGGGAGGTGTTCATCCTTAGTGGGTTTCTAAGGAGGTGATTGTCTTTTTAATTAGTTTACGTTTTACTGGTTCTTCTGCTGAGTTGATTGTAATTTGTAAACTGAATTTGAAAGATGGTGAATGGGGAGTCACTCTTGTGTTAAGAGTTGACTGGGAACTGGATGTAGGGTTGGCTATACCCGAACCAGTATAAATCTATGTGTGCTCTTCTCTCTCCCTTATCTCTTTCTCTTTTCCTGATTATATTATTGCTTCCGCTTTAACAAATTATTGACTCACAAATAAATTTTTAATTTGACATCTATTTTAATTTGTGCATCTATTCACCCCCTCTAGATGTCATTTGTCTAACAATTGTATGTTCTTAGGCTATGCAGAACATAATGTTGTCTATAGGTTTCTTGTTCTCAAGAGTGATGTAACTAAACACAATACTATAGTGGAGACAAAAAATGTTGAGTTCTTCGAACTTATTTTTCCTCTAAAGGTTAGTGAGACACCTAAAAAATATATAGATATTAATAGTGATAAAGTATATGAGGATTTGAGGAGAAGTAAAAGACAAAGGAAGGAAACCTCCTTTGGAGATGATTTCTACACTTATCTAGTTGAAAATGATAAAATGAGTTTTTTTATAGGCTATTAGGGCTCCTGATGCAATACATTGGGATAAGACCATTAAGACTAAAATTGATTCAATTAAGAAAAATAATACTTGGACTTTAGTATATTTGCCTAAAGGAACAAAACCTATTGATTGTAAGTGGATCTTTAAGAAAAAGTATCATCCTGATAGATCTTTAAGAAAAAGTATCATCCTGATATATCCATAGATAAATATAAGGCAAGATTAGTAGCAAAGGGTTTTACTCAAAAATCCAACATTGATTATTTTGACACCTTTGTCCCTGTGACTGGGATTTTCTCTATTCGAGTTTTGTTAGCTCTAGCAGCTATTCATAAGCTGATTATACACCAAATGGATGTTAAAATATTTTTTTTAATGGTGAATTAGAGAAGGAAATTTATATGACTCAACCTAAAGGGTGTGTTATTCCTGGTCAAGAAAAAAAGTGTGCAAAATATGAAAAACTTGATAATGTTCTACTTTGTAATGACTTTTCAACTAATGATGCTGATAAATGTGTATACTTTGAATTTGAAAGGGATGAATGTGTCAGTATATGTTTATATGTAGATGACATGCAAATATTTGGTACATGTATTGACATTGTCTTTAGAACTAAGTTGTTTCTGGGATCTAAATTTGAAATGAAATACATGGGTGAAGCCAATGTGATTTTGGGAGTTAAAATCATAAGGAAGGGAGATAGTATTTTACTATCTCAAGAACAATACATTGAGAAACTTCTTAGGAAGTTTGGGTATGGTTATAACATCAAACCGGTGAATACTCCTTATGACGCTAACTCTAAGTTAAAGAAAAATAGAGAAGACTCAATCTCTCAACCTAAGTATGCTCATGTAATTGGGAGCTTACTACATTTAATGAGTTTTTGCAAGACTTTAATGAGTTTTTCTAGACTTGACATTGCTTATGCAGTAGGTAGATTGAGTAGGTATACTCAATGTCCTGGTCAGGAACATTGGAATGAACTTACAAGACTTATGAGATACTGAGGTTCAATGGATTATGCCATTGAATATAGTAGATTTCCCGTTGTACTATAGTGATGCTAACTGGATCTCTGATTTAGATGAGATAAAATCCACTAGTGGTTATATATTCACACTCGGGGTTGGTGCAATTACATGGAAATCAGCCAGACAAACAATTATTGTAAGATCAACAATGGAATTTGAATTTTTTGCTCTTGACATGGTTGGTAGTGAAGCTTAGTGGTTGAAAAACTTCTTAGCAATCATTCCATTAGGAATGAAACTGATCCTATCTGTATCAATTCACTGTGATTGTCAATCGACAATTGCTATAGCTGAAAATAAGAACTATAATGAAAAAACATACATATACAATTGAGACATAATTTAGTGCAGCTGCTAAAGAATGGAACAATTTCCATTGATTATGTGAAGTCATAACAAAATCTAGCCGATCATCTGACAAAACCCTTAACGAAAAATGTGATTTTAGAAACATCAAGGGGAATGGGACTTAAGCTACTTGCAAACAAACAGGTGATGGTAACCAATCTTTGTGATTGGAGATCCCATGAATAAGGTTCATATGGGTAAAAACAAGTCACTTGTTAGCTCTGCTAGCACTAAAATTGATTAAAATTAATTATGTCCATTCCTATGGTGTGTATGTGAAAGTGCTAGATACTGCATCATTGAGAGGTTAAACTTTGTAATTAAAATTCTATTTGGTGTATGAATTTTAATATAAACAAAGTTTTTAATGATTTCATATCCTTTATGAATGGTGTATGATTTGCTGCATACGCTTGATGAAGTCACCTATATGAGTGTCGAGTGGAGCCGCTTGTATGAGATCTTTGCAAGATTTCTAGAGCACTCATGAATATCGGGCACGTGTATGGCCTAGTAAGCTCAACATAGCAATAACAATAAGAATTGTGGGGGTGTATTGTGATCGTTAAACCGCTAACATACACTAAGTGTTTTGGTTCATATAGCTTGCTACACCAACTACACTTTGTGTTAAGTTTTCAATCTAAGACTGATTCATATAATTTGTTATACCAGCTCTGATGCATTACATCTTATATGAGACCCAGGATTTTCTGCTTCTTTGTTTTTGCAATATATGGGGGATTGTTATGAAACTATATTGAAGGAACACACTCCTACACGTTACAGAGAATGTTACAAAGAACGAAACGTTACAGAGAATGAAATGTTACAGAGAACGAAAAGTTACAGAGAATGGAACATTAGAGAGAATGTTACGTTACAAAAAATGGAACGTTACATTACAGAGAACGGTTTGGACCCAATCTACGCCTATAAATAGAGACCGTTACACATGGATTTATTTACTCTTTTAAGAGTTTCTTGCTAGTTTCTGATATCCTTGGAAATTTTGAGAAATTTCTGTTGTATCCTGAGGGACTTACGTAATACATTGTGGATAAGTCCTTAAAGATAGTGATTATACACGCCTCATGAAAAAAGTTTGTTCGTATCTCTGTCAGCTTTTACAATAGAAACAAGTACCCTCTTGTCTTTGGTCCATTATCCACTGGCCATATGGGAAAACCAATGACAAAATGAAGTTTAAATGAAGAGACCATGAGATATTACTAATTACTGGACCACCAGATCATCATCACTCAGTTTCTACAAATTTATGAAAGAATCTAAAGACATTAGAAAGAACTTTTACAAAGAAAATTCAGTAATTCTTAATAACCTTTTATGTTGTTTGTTTTAATAAGGATTTTGGTGAAGCTTTTAAAATAAGTTCTTTATAACTTGTTTCTTTAGATTTAATGACAAACGGGTTGGTATGACAAGAACTTATTAATGATTTGCTTTCATATGATATGATATCATACAGTTCGAAAGATGGTGATTGAATGGCTTTATGTATAAGAAATCAATGAAAGAAACACTTATTATTACAATACTGTAAGAGATTGAAAATCTCTAAATGGCACATGATCCAGGCTCTTGGTTGCTCAGTTGAGAACATGGCCAAGGGCTAACCTGATGAGCAAATCCGGACACATCAGAACACTTCCAACTGGGAGGACTTAGTCCTTTCATACCATGGAAGTTGATATTAGACAAACAAACATCTGTGAATGGGGAATTTCTTATTCCATTTATCAAACCTGCTTCGCTAACCGTCACTCCCCAAACATTCTTAATTGTGATGCCCTTCACAACTGGGAGAGCTTTAGGATTAAACTTGTCATCTGGATGACCCCCTACATCACCTGCAATCTTTATTCCTTGCCTTGCATTCTCCACATACACATGAGCCAGTGTGATGTTCTTGATAAGCCCTCCCCTGCCAGCGTTGGTTTTGATGTGGATACCAACTCCCATGTTGAAGAGGTTGATGTGTTCAGCAAGAACATTCTCCACCCCGCCGGAGGTTTCACTGCCAACAGCAATGCCCGCAAACGGCGATGATCCAGTTAAGCGCCGAATGGTGATACTTGAGCTGGGGCGACCGTATGCAATACCATACTCATCCCACCCACTCTTCACTGCCACAAGATCATCTCCTGTAGACATGAATGAGTCCTCTATGCAGACATTTGAACTTGAATCTGCATAAATGAATTATGCAGATGATTTAGTACAGAGGCCTATTTTACTCGTCAAAACACCCCATGCCAGTCACAACATGACACTTGATAGTATTGAACTGTTGATTTCATGTACCATGAACACATACAAAAATCATATATATGAACAGGATACATGTAAGAGCCACATAGCATTAGTGGAATCAACATTAATAATTTCAATACCTCCCTTGCAAATTTTAATAAGAGTTGAGGTAGAGTTCTCTTATGAAGGAAAGAGTTCAATGCCAAACAAATGAAACTTAATGAGATCAGTTGCAATAGGATTTGACTGTTTATTACAAGTTGCAAATACTTCACTATTTGCAAAGATGTGGCTTATTTTGAGAGAACTTACCTGGGTCAACTCCATCAGTATTAGGAGAGTCACGAGGAGCCAAAATTGTGACATATCGAACCACAATATTCCTGCAAAGAAGGAACAAAGTTTGAAAATATTTTCATGAAAAAAATCTCTACTTCTTTATTTCCTTTTTAGTTTGTTTCAAGCAAGTTATATAAACAAAATGAAAATACTATAAAGAAAATTACTTCTCATTACTCAATCATACCTGCAATAAACTGGATGTATATTCCAGAAGGGAGAATTCTTAAAAATCACATTTGAAATAACAATATCTTGAGAATTTACAAATTCAACAAGGCCTGGTCTTGTATATTTAAGTGTTCTCTTCCTCCACATGTTCCACCACACTCCTCCTTGTCCATCAATTGTCCCATTCTCACCTATGAAAATATTGGGCAAGGCAGAAAATATTAAAGTTAGTTTGTCTATAAAGTGCACAAGAAAGGGAGTATCCCCCTTCATTTAATTTTTCAGAAAATATTAAAGATTTGATACCTACCTGTGATCACCACATCAGTAAGTCCATCTCCATGGATAAAACTCATATACCTTCCTCCAGGGAGCTCCCTCCCTCTTCCATAAGATGGCAAGGGTACAATTAAAGGCCAATTCTTCACCTCCTAAAAAATGGAGATGAAGAACATTAAAGAATGTGCTAGGGAAGAAGAAAAGGTAGAGAATTCTTATGAAGTTTCCTATATCTTGATGTTTTCTTTTCTATCATTAAAACAATAAATTGTGTTAGAGAATAACATGAGTGTTGATTTCCACTGGACTTTGAGCATTCACTTCAAATCATATTCTATCAGAAAAACATAAGAATTTATTACCTGACATACACATGCACGCCAAATGAGTTTGATAGTCATATAATACAAAATAGGCTTTTAACATTGGTTCTAGAACCGATGTAGAAAGTGTGACTTTCCACATCGGTTATAAGGAATCGATGTAGAAAGTCTAATATTTTTATTTATTTATATATTTTTATTTATTCATATCCCTCTCCAATTACCCTATCTATAGATAGGTAGGTCTCTTCTCCCTTTTATATTATATTTTTATTATTTATTATATTATTTAAAATTTGAATTATTATTCGATTAAGAGAATTGTCATCTGGCAAGATTCGAACCCGTACGTTAGAGTCGAAGGTCGATACTCCAACCACTAAGCTACTTAGGATTTTTCGATAATAACTTATACATAAATTATATTTATATACAAATAAAAATGTATATTCACGTAAATATATAAATATAAAATATATAAATACAAATACAAATATATCTATATATTTATATGTTGGATGTGAGGGCGCGCTCGAGGATGAAAGTGTGTGTTGAGTGAATTTTCAAAATTTGATGTCAAATTTGTGAGCGAGTTTCTTTATATGGATTATAACTTAATGACAAAATATAATCTTTATAATTTATTTATATAATGATATAAAATAATTTTTTTCTTTATTTTATATCATTATATAAATTAATTATAAAAATTATATTCTATATTATTATAAATAAATTATAAAGATTTTATTCTATTATTAAATTACAAATTCATATAAAGAGACTCGCTCACAAATTTAACATCAAATTTTGAAAACCCACTTGTCACACACTTTCACTCTCGAGCGTGCTCTCACATCCAACATATAAATATATAAATATATTTGTATTTGTATTTATATATTTTATATTTATATATTTACATGGATATACATTTTTATTTGTATATAAATATAATTTATGTATAAGTTATTATTAGAAAATTCTAGTAGTTTAGTGGTTGGAGTATCAGCCTTCGATTCTAGTGACTGGTTCGAATCTTGCCGATGACAATTCTCTTAATTTATAAAAAACTTTCTACATCGGTTCATCTCGAGAACCGATGTAGAAAGTCTTTCTACATTAAAGAACCGATGTTAAAAGTGATTTACGTACTAGTGATATTCCAATTATATTGATTTACAGCATGCATCTAAAGCGGAATATTGAAACAGTCACAAAGCTTTAGAACTGATAACATCGATCAGGTACTTTTAGCATGTTTAGAACCAAGAAAAAAGATTCTCCTTTTACAAATAGCAAATGCTAACTTCTCAAATGACACACTATTTGCTTAACTAACAACTCTAACTATTAGTAATTTTCTGTGCCCTCTCTCCTAACTCTTAACAATTACACTATCACCACTTAATTGACAGCTCATATTCAGTCCAATCAAGTTCATAACCATAAACAAGAAATAAATATGAAGTTTGTATTCTGCTACAGCTCAAGGTCCACAAATGGCAAGATGACAAACCATTCCTAGAACGTCTTGATTTAATAAACAAAAGGGGGTGTCCAATTAGAGAAATAACTGCCCTATATAATCTATATAAGCAAACTATGACTGTCAACAAAATAAGTATTATTCTCAGATCTCTGATAACATGGACCAAGCACATATGGATAGTACTCAATATTAGTTTCACATCAATTTAAATGATACCCCTCGTTTCACATTTTGTTATTTTATAAATAAATTGTTCACTAAATAATCCAAAGTAGACAACATTAACGGCTATTGGCCAAAGAACCAGCTGTCCAACAAAGCCATTGTCACTTGTCATTGCTTTAAATATCATGCACATGTAGCTATACAGACAAAGGACCCATCAATATTTTTCATCCATTCACCTTTAGGCCCACCATAATTCATATCCGTGTAATTCTTGTTCTAGGCAACCTGTTATCTATATCTACATCTCTATATTACCAGCCCTACATAAGTCAGACAAGATAAACCTACACACTTAACAATTGACCAATTCATGACACCTATGACTATATCAGACCCTTTATCATGTAGAATGGTCCTCTCATCGATCACAACTACGGAGTATTGGCCCTTGATTCGATCTTATTTTTTTCTCACAAAATGGTAGGTGACTTTTATGGTGTATAACATTCTACCATTTAAACTTTGGGGTTCCCTGAAATATGCTGGCATTTGCTGGCATTTATTTTTGCAGGATCTATATAGTCTTATCACTTTCATTTTAGTGATAAGTGGGTTCTACAGACTCCACTTTCGATCTAGAAAAAATTATAATATTCCACAAATTCTTCAGACAATTTATGTTCAATTAATGGTAATATAACTTTTTTCTCTTTTTCAGTAGTATAAATGTGTTTGTTTGCTCCCACACAAAAACAGGTACACCGACATATGATAATATGTCAATATTTCACCCCAGAATAACTACTTTTATTTTAATATAGTGGACCCTAATTTGGAATTTAGTGTTTGATTTAAATTATTATTAATAAAATTTTATGGCTAAATTTGTTTCTGGGTTCAAGTTATCTCATCCTCTTCATAATTGGGCATTTCTGTGATGGGAGACATCGAACCAAAAAAGAAGTTTAAAATTAAAACTTTTCAAGTGCTCAATTTAATTTAAATAAAGAACTAAATTGTAAATGAAACACGTTTTCAAAAGATTAAATTTGAAAATAATTAATACCAAATTATTATTGACTTTTAAAGAAACCAAAGCATTTAGATGTTATTTCTTAAAATTAAATTTTAACATTATTTTAATTTCTAAAAGAATATTCAGTAAATCAGTCTTCAAATAATAAATTACACATTAATGATTTATAACTTAACAAAATAGCAAAGTTATAAATTATTTAATAAAAAAGAAAACGTGTTTACACTACTACAAATAAGGTCTTCAACGTCGGTTCGGAAAAGTTATCAGACTTTCAACGTCGGTTAAATAGAACCGACGTTGAAAGTCTGATTTTTCAAATTAAATTTTTTTATTTATTTCCAACCTTTCCAACCCTCTATTTATCTAGAAATCCCTCTCTCTTTTATATTATATTTTTATTAGGTCCCTCTCTTTTATATTATATTTTTATTATTTATCATATTTTTTTTAAGTTTAAAGCATTACCAAATTATTTTTTGTCATCGACAGGATTCGAACCCAAGCATCTTAGTGTTGGAGGTCGATACTCCAACCACTAAACTACTCGAATTTTTTTATAGTAAGTTACAAATAAATTATATTTATATACAAATAAATTATATTTATATACAAATAAATATGTATCCGTGTAAATATATAAATACAAATATATTTATATATTTTGATATATTTATATAATTATATATTTATATATTGGATGTGAGGGCACGCTCGAAGGTGAAAGTGTGTGTCGAGTGGGTTTTCAAAATTTAATGTCAAATTTGTGAGCGAGTCTCTATATATGGGTTTGTAATTTAATGACAGAATATAATATTTATAATTTATTTATATAATGATATAAAATAAATTTGAAAAACGTATCATTCGCTCAAGTGACACATTCGCTCAAGCGAAAAATACCAATTTTCGCTCAAGCTAGGCTTGATCGAGTGAATTTCGTGAGCTTTAACGTATTTTCACTCAAACGAGAGTCAATCTCACTTTCACCCTCGATCGCGCCTCACATCCAACATAAAAATATATAAATATATTTGTATTTATATATTTACACGGATATATATTTATTTGGTTATAAATATAATTTATTTGTAAATTATTATCAAAAAATTATAGTAATTTAGTGGTTGGAGTATTAATTTTCAACTCTAAAATACTATATTTGAATCCTATCAATGATAATTCTCTAACTTAAGTGAATTTTTTACTTGAAAAAAATAAAAACACTTTCCAGAAAATATATAAATAAATATATATTTACACGAGATATATATTTATTTGTATATAAATATAATTTATCCGTAAGTTATTATCGGAAAATTACAGTAGTTTAGTGGTTGGAGTATTAAGCTTTCAATTCTAAAATACTAGGTTCGAATCCTGTCGACTGACAATTCTCTAACTTAAGTGAATTTTTGACTGAAAAAAATAAAAACACTTTCCGGAAAATATAAATAAATATATATTTATACTGAATATATATTTATTTGTATATAAATATAATTAATTTGTAAGTTATTATCGGAAAATTACAGTAGTTTAGTGGTTGGAGTATCAACTTTCAACTTTAAAGTATCTGGTTCGAACTCTGCCAGATGACAATTTTTTAACTTAAAAGAATTTTTGGTGAAAACACATTAACGCTCGGCTCATCGAGGAACCAACGTTGAATGTCATTTTATTGACATTCAACGTCGGTTCCGTGATGAACCGACGCATGACATTCAACGTCGGTTCCAGATGAATCGACGTAGACATTCAACGCTCGGTCTGGATGAACCGACGTTGAATGTACTTTCTACGTCGTTAAAACGTTAAATGGCGACGTTGAAAGCATATTTTGTAGTAGTGTTACGACTGATAAATAATTTTGAAGTTTATCGGTTATTCTGTCCCTGTGAACCAATAATTAATATTTACGGTGATTATTCAAAAGAGTCGATAAATATAATACACCATCTTTCTAACTCATCCCCTTAAAAAAAATACATGATTAAGATTACTTTAAAAGGTGACATAAAAATTTTCGAAAGTTGAAAAAAAAAAAAAAAAAAAAACTTGAAACAAACGATGAAAAAACAACTAAATTTTATAACTTCTTAATAAATTTCCACCAACAAAAAGTAAATGTGAAAAAAAGTATTCTAAATTCGATAATTTCTAAAAAATAATCGATCAAAGATAAACGATATATTCAAAAAATATATTCTCAACATCGTTTTAGAAAATCATTTTATATAATTTATATTTTCATAATTAAAAATTAAACGGCCATAAATCCAAATTTTAATCACCAAAAACCATCGTTCAAACAGCAAATCACAAATCCCCTAAAAAATTTCCCAGAAAAATGTAACAAAATTAAAAAGAGAGAAGAATCAGAAAAGCATCCATGAACAGTGACGCATAGAGTTAAACTTACCTGAGTGGCTTTGATAACGGCACCAGCAGCGAGAAAAAGCGTCATGTGGCTGGTGAGGTTGAAGCTCTCCGTTAAGAACACCCCCGGAGGCACGTACAGCAGCGTGCCTCCAGGCCTTCGCAGGTGTTGAATGCGGAACACAGCCTCTCTAAACGCTTTCGTGTTCAGAGTGCGACCGTCGCCAACACCTCCAAAATCAGTTATGGAGATTTTGTCGTTTCGATTTTTCAACGGAACTATGTCAGAGCATGTTTTCAAGGTCGCAGTGACAGAAGAAGATGGTGAGAAGAAGAGAAGGAAAGTGACGAATGCGAGAAACGGTGAGAGAAGCATGTTTGTTTGGAGATGGTGAGAATAAAAATGATGGAACTTGGCTGATTACAAGAGTGATGTGATTTATAAGGTTTTTTGTGGGGTGTGAGAGAGGACAGAATCTGTGTGGGGGAGTGGGAGTGTGGTTTTTTCATGGTTCATGCAGTTTTGGATCTTCAAAGAGCACATTCAAAGGGAAAGCTAAAGTTAAAGGACATTCTTCAATAATATTTAAGATTTTATTGTAATATTTTTTATTTCTACTATAAAACATATATATATTTTTTTAATGCAAATTTAATTTGTTTATATACTTTTATTAGATATATAAATAGGCGTATTGTTATTAGTTAATTTATAATGGTTAATAAAAATAAAATATTAGTAAAATAAATTAAAAAATCATAAAATTATAGATGAATTAATTGTGCTTTTTTGTTCCTATATTCTCTTACAATATATATGTTTTAAAATATATAAATTATTAAACTTTAAATTTAACTGAAAAATAATACCACAATTATATATAATATTGTATGTATGTTTTTGTCTAAATTTAATGTTTTTAATATAATTCTAAAATGTTGATTAGGTAAATACAAATACTTATTATCTTTTGAACAATTAAATGATTTTATAAAATAATTTGTTTTGTTGCAACTCAAATACAATTTTTTGTTAACGTTGCTTTTTATATGTTTTTTTTTTTTTAATTTTATGGTATATATGATTTCTAATTCGATGACATTCTACAAAATATTTTGTAATGTTAATATATTTTGTTTCTAAATGATTTTTTGTTTACATTTTATTTGGATAAGAATTAAAATAAATAAAAAAGATGATAATATTTGAAGCGGAATTTATGAGAAATTTTACGTTGTATAGATTGATGCAATAGAATAAAAGAAATAAAATAATTTTATTTTATTTTATTTATTTGAATATGTTTTAAAAATATATTTTTTCATTTATTTTCTATAATTGCATAAGGTTTATATTCGTTATAGAGAAAATATAAAATTAAAAGTGATCCGTCAGAAAAAAAAATGAGTGGAAAGTTATTTAGTAATAAAGAAACTAACGAAGATATAAATATGTTCTTTAATGATATACAAGCGCAAATTAATGAATTGCTATTTTACAAAATTATCTTTAGTTAAATAAATTATTATATTATTTTATGTTTATAATTTTAATATATATATATATACTTTTAATTAATATTTTAATAAAATATTATATAAAAATTAAATGAATAATTTATATTTATGTATAATATGATATTATTTATTAATTTAATTTAAAATAATTTTAGAAAAAAATTAATTCTATAATAAAAATATTTTATAATTATATTAAAATATAATTTATTAAAAAATAAATATATAATTTATCAATAAAAAGTCAGTTAATATTTACATAAATAATTTTATACTTAAATAAATATTTAGTTTTAATTTAATTATTTTTTTAGATAACAAACATTTCTATACTTTTATATGTTTAAACTTAAATAGTAAACCCTAATCAAATAGTCAATCTGTATTTTATGTCATGCCATATCTTTGAATTTTATAAATATTATTATTAAAATGGAATCTTTTATGCATGCATCACTCATTTTATTTGCTCTGAAAATATTTTTATATAAGAGTTAAATTGATATAATTGTAAATACGATTAGTTATTTATATATTGAGTATAATTAAATGCTTTGCAGTAATAATATTTATTACATTTATTAATGTAGTAGACAAATAATTAAATGTTTTATATTTGTGATATTTATGACATGTATTAACAACTTCTCATTATTTAAATTATTAAATAATTATATAATAAATATTCTATTTAAATAATTAATTATTATTATATTAAATATTAATATATATTAAATTTAGTAATTAAAAAAATGAGTTTTTTCAGCGCATAACTTCTCATTTGGATGTCTCAATATAGAAAAAAAAATATTATGAAAAAAATTGATTATTTTAAATTATTTACTTTATAATATATTTACTTTTATATTACATACTAGTACCATCCATTCATAAATTTCACAGGGCTTAAAATTTTGAATCAAGAATTTTAACGAAATTATCAAAATATAAAATTAAAACATACTTATTTTTCATTGCACCTATAATTAAGTCTTATCCTAATATATATATATATATATATATATATATATATATATATATATATATATTTTTTTTTTTTTTTTCAAAAAATATTTTCAAATTATATTAAATTAGATTATATTAACGCTAAATAGTATAATAAAATATAATATTATACGGTTAGAAGAAGTTTGAGACTAAAATTTCATAAATATATAATTAAATTATGAAAAAATAATTCATTTTAATTATTATTTAATGTCCACATTAACTATATATATATATATATATATATATATATATATATATATATATATATATATATATATATATATATATATATAAAGTTCATCATTATATTTAATTCTATTAATAACTATAATTTATTACTTATAAAGTCAAATACTTTATAATAATAATAATAATAACAATAATAATATTTATTAATATATTTAACAAATGATTAAATATTTTATATTAACAATATTAATTACATGTATTAATGTAATATGTTTCTTTTTAATAAAAATGGGGATACAAAATTGTGAAAACTAACTTTTGTCCCAATCATTTATAATTTTTAATATATCAAATATTATAATAAAAATTAAATACAAATTCATGAAAAAAATTAGGTTAAATTTATGATAAAATTAAATGAATATATTTCAGAAATTTTTTATTTTTTAAATTATATATAATAAAATTAAGAATATTATATTTAAAATAATATATATATGAAACTTATAAAAATAAAAAGTTATTATAAAATTTTGTCATTAATACTTGTTGCAATTATTACCTGTCACGAATCCACTTACAAGATTTTGTTAGTTTGAATTTAAAAAAAATAAAAAAAATAAAAAACAAACATTGAAAATTTGATAAGAATATCTTTAAAAATAAAATATAAATTTTCTTAAGTTAATTAATTTGAATTATTTAGTTTGAATATAAATTAAAAAAATTTAATTAATAAAATTGATATCATAAAGTATACGTAAAGCCCAAAACCCAAAGAAAACAATAAAAAACAAAAAGTGAATGAAAATTTGGGACAAGCCCATTCTCTCCGTGTTCTCGGCCTACTAGAGAAGAAATATTAATGACAAAAAACAACTTTTTTATATTTTCACTCTCAAATTACACTCATAATAAATAAAATAATATATATGTTTATATATTTACTTTAAATATAACTATTATTTTATCTTATAATAAAATAAAAGATATAAAAATTAAAAAAAATTAATTCTTATTCTTAAAATAAATAGTTATATATATATATATATATATATATATATATATATATATATATATATATATATATATATATATATTCACTCAAATATGATTGTGAAAGATAAAATGTGTAGGTAAAATTATTTGTATTTATTTTTTTCAAAATATTCCATTGAAAATCAGTAAATAACATTTATGTCTTGTTCGGATTGGAAAGTGAATTTAAGAGAGTGAAAAAGAAAAAAAAATGGAAATAATTAAATTAAGATAAAAATATTAAAAATAAAAAGAAGTAAAAGAAAAAAAAATATAAAACAAAAAAAAATTTATTTATTTTAACAATTTTATTTATTATTTTAATATTATTTTTAATTATCTATTATAATTATAAATTTTCTTTTAAAAAAATATATTTAAGAAAATTATCACATAATCTATTATTTAATTATAGATAATTGATTACAAATATTTATTTTATGTTTTCGTGTCTTTCTCATAAAAAAAAGGGAGGTGAATGTTTTCTTGAAATGCAACTTCGAAGCTACAGTGGAGATAGGGATAACTAATACATCTTTAGCAATTGCTTGAAGTGTTGGTTATTTGACTTCATTCAACTCTCACCACATTAGAATATCAAAATCAGTTTTTCTTGGTAAAACCTCTTCTTCTAAATAATGGTCTAACTCTGTTTTAACATATGTATTTCTTACCCCCTTTTTTTTTCTCAAAATAGACCTGTCATACTCAGTTAATGCATCACCAGCAATATTAGTACCATCCCTTGTTAGAGACTCGCCAAATGTGTCTTTATTAATTTTTGTTTGATACTTAAAAATCAAGTCATAACATAATTGACGAATCATCCGAACTTGCAAAAAGTATTCATGACCATACAACTTTTCATAATAATATTCAAGTAACCCCATTTTGTATCTAAGATCCAAAACAGTAGCAACTCTCATAATAGCATGAATCACATTCCAATACTTATCAAATTTGAACAACATGTTCTTAGACATTTTTTTAATCACTTCATTTGGAGATGTAATCCACTCAGTCAATGTCAATTTAATCTCACATATCACTAGTGCAAAAAATGGCTTCAACGTCACCCAATTATCGTCGCATGTAAAAAGATTTGACGTAAATAAAACGCGGTGACAATTTTGTAAATAAGAGACAAAAATTTTACGTCGCACATCCTAGGAGGTGACGTAAAAAGCCTTCTTTTACGTCACGCCACCCAGATGCAACGTAAAAGAGTGCTTTTTACGTCGCATGCTGGGGTGCGCGACGTAAAAAGTGCCTTTTATTTCCTCCCAGACTCACTCCCTCATCTCGCGCAACAAGGAATTTTGAGAACGACGACGACAGCTACCTCTGCACACCATTTCCGATCAGTTTGACAGTGAAAAACATCAACATTGTGTCTCATTTTACGAACTTGATATTTCTCCCCGATTGGATTCGAGTTTGAAATCATTTTCGTCTACACTCGAGGTTAGTGTTCTATGTCATTGTTATATGTTTAAATTGAATCCGTTATTATTTTTGGGGATTTCAATCACGTTATTGTATGAATGTCTCCACTGGATTGTTATTGGAATCAGGGATGATAATTAAACCCGTACCCGTGGGGACCGATCTGTCCCCGCC